CAAGGCATGGTTCAACATTGTGAATCAGGCTCATGCCAACCTACAGAAGACCTCAGGCCTGGTACAAAAGAAGAAACTATCTTGTAACGTGGGATGGAAACCGCCAGATGAAGGGTGGATCCAACTGCAATCGGATGGTTCTGTACGAGCGCCAAGTGGGAGAGCAGCAGCAGGAGGATTGTTCAGGGATCACTTAGGTAGATTTCTGGGAGCCTATGTGTGTAATTTTGGACGATGCTCAATCACAACTGCAGAATTGCGAGGAACCCTGGAGGGTCTAAAGATTGCGTGGAAGGCAGGCTACAGGAAGATCATTCTCCATAGCTATTCCACTACTGCCATCAACATCATTGAACACAAAAATGATGATGTGCATCGCCATGGTACTACTGCCAGGCATTTGAGCTACATTTTGGATCAACAATGGGAGGTAGAATTTCCCACGTGTATAGAGAAGCGAACTACGCGGCCGATTACTTGGCTAACAAGGCTCATGATTTTGATTTTGGCACACATCACTTCAATGTGTGTGATAGGGATTTGATCAAATGGATCAACCATGATGTACTGGGAATTTCCCATGAACGTTCTATTATTAATATGAATTAGACGCTCGGTGTCTGTCTTTTAACAAACAAACAAAAAATGACAAACGAGAAGCAAGGAACAATTCACCCACCCTATAGTTTAACTCTAGTCCACCACCATTACTCCCTTTCCAACATCACAACAAGGCCTATTCTTTCAGTCACTGCCGCAGGTAAGAACTCAGAAAGGAAATTCTTGTTTGTGTATTTGGTTGCATGTAAAGCTCAAGTTAGTTCTTGATTTAATTCTTGTATTGGTTCTTGTTAGATTGTGTTGTTGATTTAATGCATATATGATATATTCAACAGCGCTTTCAGTAGAGTCTGTATTATATATGTAGGCAGTACGTAGTTGCACCAATGGAAGAAGGTCATATCCAGAGTTCAATCTCAAATATGGTCTCATTTCGACAAAATCTAAAATGGCCAAAAGGAAGCCGCCAAATGCAAATTTTTCAAGTTTGCAACAATATAGTGGGTGCAGATCTAAAGTTGGGAACAAGCCATTTGCAGAAACATTGAATCAGATGCCTAGACAAAAGGAGTTTATCAATTATATCTTCCATGTAACACTTTTGTGTTAGTATATTTGTTCAAATGTTTGTCATGGAGCTGTGTTTTAGCTTTTACCTTTCAATATTCTGCACATCTTAGCTAGTTAGTTTATTTGTTGGTTCCTGAACTGACTCAATTGATTATATTATGAAATGTAATTATATTGGTCTTGCTATGTAGCCTGCCAACAATCAAGATGGAGCTGGGTACAAGTCGAGTCAGGAATTAGAAACAACAACAATGTTAAACAATGATGATTGAGGTAAAGGAATAAAATATTCTATTATGTTTCTGCAGATCCTAACTTACCTTTTTTTGTTCCTTCGCTAGTTCCTCTCACTTATCCTCTGCTTATTTGTTTTCTTATATTGGTGAGAATGTGATGCAGCTTGCAAAAGGTTGATAAAATTGATGAGTTGAGTTGTGAGTAGCTTGCAAAATGAATATTCACTTGTAGAAGTGGAGGTCTTGATTCTTGAAGAGTTTAAGTTCACGATTGCAGCAGTGGTGATGCAACCAAGCAGATTCCGTTTTTTATTTTTAGATTTTGATGAATAATTTTTACAATTGTTTCCAATTTAGAAGTTGTCAAAGTTGTTAAAAGAAGTTGTCGCAGGTCAGGCAGGTAAAAATTGCCCGTGTGGTCAAATCATGGGTCAACTGTGACAGGCCCGTGGGGGGCTTTGGGGCAGGTCGGGGCAAATTGTTAAAGGGCAGGGCAGGTCCAGGTATCAGGAATGCCGACCTGTTATGTACCCATTACCATCCCTACTTATGGCTATCAATGATAGTAAGGGTAATTCTAGAAAATAGATAAAAGAAATGCAATTGAGTGGTCACTCAAATGAAAACCTAATTCCTTTTTCTCAACACTCCTTTCACTCCTTCATTTTCTCTCTAGTATTAACAAGATTATGTTACTTAGTTATTACTTAGAGATGTATCAGAGCCAGAGAATAATAATTTGGATTACATTTTTCTTTATCTTATGGATTAAGATGTTGTAGGATAAAATACCTTGAACCATATGAAGAATAATTGTTTTTTTTTGTCGACTTCATGATATAGTAGGTGCGTTTGTAATTGAAAATTTAAATGTAAAATTTTAGGTATTACAATGTTGGATGTACGGGGCGGATATTACCCATGGGTACCCGAAACTCACGGGTATGGGGATGGGTTTCCAAAACCTTCCCGCATGGGTATGAGGCGGGTATGGGTTTGGATTTTTGAAAACAGGGATGTGGATGGTTTAGGCAAACCCGCCCCATTGCCATCCCTATCATCTATAGACTTATGATTTAGTAACAGCCAACGAGCAAGGATAAAACAAAGTTCAAATCCTCCCAAAACACGACCGATGTTGGGGGTATGACAACGAGCCCAAGAAAAAGGGTCCAAAGTGGAAAGCAAGGCCCTAGGGCGCCGACCCAACAATGATAGGGCTCGGCCTGGGTGGATATTTGACAGCCTGGAAAGGTGAGACTCGATCTCTGACAAGGGGCGCATAAGGACAAACATAACGATCGAAAGCGTACGGAGGGCGCAGCGAGTGAGGTCATGTGCCTCGGAGCTCTGAGAGCGGTGTCAGATGGTCTAGGCGCATGGTGAAAAGATAGTACATTGCATTTATTATGGTGATGACGTGGGGAGGATCAGGGGGAAATGGTCGGCAAGGCTTCGAGTATAAATAGGAGAGTAGGTGAACCTCATTTACTCAGATTAAACTCTCTCACTAAAACTTTCTTCTGCTTATCTCTCTAAATTGTGGTGCTAACTTGATCGTCGGAGTCCTAACGGACCGCAAGGTACTAGGAACCTCGCCCACGAAGAGGGATTGCGACAAAGGTGTCTCGGGAGAGAGAAAGGGGAACTTGGCTCAAACAACCGCCTTCTCCTTCTAGGCGAAATCGAGCACGAAGGGTTGCCGAAGAAGCCTTTGAGAGAAGCACTGCCGAAGAACTGACGGTTACACTCCCGGGTCAGTGTGTTGGTTACGCCTCCAGGGACTCCCTCCCTCTCTTATTTATTTATTTATTTATTTTTCTTTATAACTATCCTCCATAATTTATTTATTTTCTTCAATTATTATTTCCATCACTTCTCATTTTTATAACTATTGCATAACATTTGAAAATTGTATATTGTATACAAGGAAAAATGTTAGGGTGGGTGGGCCGTGAATTCAGCCTCGTGCGTACTGGCCGATAATGGCCTCCACCATCATGCCTCATCAGGGATAGTCTAAATAGAGACGTATTGACGTTTTACACGAGAACGACGCATTAATATGTCACTTAATCGAGTGTCACCAAATTATACGGTGACATTTGTTACCATTGTCAATACCACTTTTTGTGTGACGATTGTTCATTGACGGATCCAGGACTAGGCTACACTGGTCCAGAGGCTAGCCCTCTTCCTGGTTGAGAGTGAGTATAGGTAGACTTCCAGCTCTCTCACCTCTTTGGGCCTAGCCCTCTCTACCTCCCAAGACCAAGACTAGTTCTTCTGCACCGTCCACCACTTCTTCCACTACCTTCCTTTGCCGCACTAAGCGCTTCCACTTCTTGTCCCCTTGGACCTTGCTCATCCCTCAAGCAGACGCGGAAGAAGTAGCAGCAGAAGAATGAAGTTCCTCCACAGAGCTTGCTGTGATTCTTGAACCCGAAGGGCGACGATGACAACGAGGGAGAAGGTGGGAAGAAGGATGTTAAGGGGGACGGCAGGGAAGGAGGTGGATTGAAAGGGACGATTCTTGTTGGGGTTTTACTTGTAGGAGTTGTTCGTGGGTTTAAGACTGTTGGGTATGTTTACAGGGATCAAACCAATGCGTTATTGAATAACTTCTCTGCGTTAGGTAAGAGTCTTTGTTTGTTCCGGAACTTAAACTTCTGTTCATCTTGCTTCGAATTGCTCTGTAATTGGAAGAACTTGTGTCTCACGGGATGAATAGGCAGTGGAATGGAAGAGTCCATGGTAGGAACTTTCTTGAATTGGGGACTTCTTGGGAATTCTTAAACTAGTGGATTGAGAATGCTTGATAGCATTGTTGCGAATCGATCTACATTGTGGGGATGGAATTAAGAGTTATCCTTGGATTGAGAAGCTCCCTTTTTAGTTAAGGTACTTACTTTGTTTGAGAATTGAGGCATTTATTGGCAAGATAGTGGAAATTTGGACTAAAAGAAGTTCAAGAATGGAACACAGTAGGAAATTAAACATTAGAATGATTGTTCTCATTGTGATTAAGTTTGTTTGACTGCTATGGCATGTGAATGACATTGCCATGCCAGTCTCTGTCTGCTCCCTTCCTTTCTACGGATCTTTTGGTTCTCCTTGTCCTTGCTCAATTGAGTTTCATGTTTAGCCAAATTGTGGTGGAATGGGATGATGCTCATTATTTTTCTACCATTTTTTTAAGAATGCCTTTCCTATTAGGTCACTTGGTTTTCTTGTGAACGGGTTATGGACCAGCGGGATATGCTTTGTTTGTGGTAGTATATGTAGGATTAGATTTGGAGGTATGTGCTTATTATGCTAGATGAATTTGCTAAATTAAAAGATCATCTAGATATTTTTGTTTACGGAATCTAACTTTCTATTCAAATATGGCTCACTGCTCTACTATATTCTAGATCCGTCGCTGCGATTATTTAATTTGCATACCGTAACACTTATAATTGCAACATAATAATAACATTTAGCGGCATCCTAAAGTGCCATGGACCGTACAATACAATGGCATTTCTGGAAACATGTCATCAAACTGTCATAGTTGATATTGACATTTCCTGCGACATTCTAAAAATGTTATTGGTGATCATCATGTAATTAGTATACTACGTACTAAAAATATTATACCGCTTGAGGACACGGCTTTGGCCGTCTTCTCTTGCCCAGTAACAAATAGTCATTACAATCATCATCACCACCATCATCATAGTTGTTATCAACATCATAATCATCACCATACTTATAATCCCTGCGATAATGGACATGCCGCACAAAGCCGATGCCTCTGTTGATCCCGATGAAGTAGCCGGCAAATAAGGAGAGAGCGAATACGACGTCGGGTTCGTCTACCCATCCTCCTAATTCTTCTTCTCTCGACTCATGGTCACGGTCACGGTCACGGTCACGGAATCGCACCATCAGGTTGGCGATGGTGAAGGCAGTGAATATATAAAGGAGGAATAATGTAAGCCTAAATTCCATTGTATGGACGGTCCTCATCGACGCCGGCAACAACAACTGTACCATCCAAACAACTACTCCTTTCTTCTTCTCCTCCGCCTGTAACATAAACTTAGCAGTCGTTTGTAACTTGTGATTTTGAAATAGTGCATTGAGCTGATTCATGTATTTGTGAGATTCCGACGTGTTTTTTTTCTTCTTTTCTTCTTCTTTATATATTGAACTAGAATACATGCATTAATTGAATTTACACTTGTTGAAATTGATGCGTACCGTCTTGGAAAGATGAAGGATGTTGAAGTATCCGAGCTGTAGGTAGATGAAGAAAGGAACGTAGACCCACTGAGCGATATGGGCGATCGTTCGAACGGTGTACGTCGGGGCAATGAGCCGGCGGAGGAGGAAGAAGGAGATGAGGACGAAGAAATATACCCTTACCGCCCTAAACCGGTACAACAAAACCACAGTTTCTTCCGCTTCTTCTTCTTCTGCTTCTACTCCTAATTGTTTGCCTCTTCTCGCCGCCGACATGATGATGATAGCTTCCCTAATTTCCACACCGCTAAGGCGCTAACTTTGTGTTATTTGCTAATTAGTTAGCTCAATTTTATTGTCAATTATGATTAACAAACTTCACGATTTTTCATCCTTCATTTGAGTAACTTTTAGTTTCAGTCGTAATTATCAATCAATAATCTTTCTTCTCCAAGCTGGTACATTAATCATTATTATTGAGCATATATGGTGGTGTATTGGCCATTGGGTGCATCAACTTTTTTTATTATTAATTATTATTCCATGCACACAATTTTATTTCTAATTTTAGCCATCAAATAATGTTAAATAAATAAGAAGGTCGCTCTAGATTTAAATTATTTTTAATTCTTTTACTATTTACCGCCCGGATTCTTCTCGGGATGTCACAACCTCCCGAAGTTACATTCTAAAAAAATCCAAAAATAAAAACCAGCTTTAGGAAACTAGTTTTTCGCAACTTATAACAACTATCCAACTCCCCCAACTTTAAGAAAGCTTGACAATTGTAAAAAACCGGCGTTCATCGGAGAAACTAAAACTTGCCGTATTTTTGTCACATGACATCGTCATTTGACACTAACCAGGTAGGGCTGTAAAAATTCAGCGATCAAAACCGGGTTGGGCCGACGGAAACAGGCGACTAGAACCAGACCAGGCTAAAGATTTAACACTATTCAAGTTTTTTCACATTAGACCTCAAATTCCACTCGTTGTATTTGGTGGTTTTTCTGACATGTCCGGCGCCCAGGCCGGCGTTACCAGTACCACCGCCATAGAAAACCTAGCCCTGGTTCGCAGCGACGAAAATTCTTTTTCCGGTTTCTCCGAGAAATTCGAAGAAAACCTAACTTTGTATCTTGTCTTTTTTATTGGATTATGAGCTTTTTCCTTCTGGTCTATAAATATGTACAAAAAATTATGGTTAATTGTTATTATTATTATTATTATTATTATAGTATTATACTAATATATAAGCTTGAAAAAGTCACCGCGTATAACTCCTTTGTCCTTCACCTTTATTTCTTTTATTCTGCTATAGTGCCAGGAACCGTTGTTTGATTGGTGCAAAGCAAGGAGAGAACCATAAGTGCGGTAAATAATTATGAGCTACTAGTGGTGAGAAGGAGATATCGGTCATTTGTTTTTTACCTCTTTGGTGAATATATGGCAGAAAGAACAGGCTGGGTTTTTTGAGAGTTCTGATATATTTTGATCAGCCTGCCTAGTGGTACTGTTACAGCTCATTTGCCCGCCGGACAGGCCATTACAGCTGTTTTGTATCTTCGGTTAGTTGCCCTGTAAAAAGCACTGTACAAAGAGCAGGGAGAGAGAGAGAAAAGATGGAGAGAGAGAATCAACCCATATTTTCATTAATTAATTAATTAATATATAGCTAAAGTGAGGTTACTATTCCCTTATAGTTTGGTAACCTACAATACTTTCATGCATACATGGAATTTCAAGTTCGACGGATACAATGTTTTTTAGTTTTTATTATCGTGAATTTCAACTCTAATCTAGCACGTTGAAGGATATTTGTGAAATCTTTCATAAAAACTCTTCATCCAAACAACTCTAATCTAAAAGATATTTGTGAAATCTAGCACGGTGATGAGATTGCATTGGTTGTTGGTGGTTGTGTCCGAAATATTAACCAATAGTAGTACGAGGCAAGTTTTTAGTTGGATCATCGAAATTAATTGGGACATCTTAATGTTAGTGTACATTATACAAACATCCATGCTAAATAGATTTGAGGTTTGTTTGGATGTAATATTTTGATTGTTTAATTTGGTCTAATTATCTTAAAATGAAGTAATTAGGTCAAAAGTCCTCATTTAGCAATACAAATTTGGATGTAATAACTGAGCCAAAATAATTTGAATCACTTCGTTTTCAATTAATTTGAATTGACATGAAAGACAAATATTGTGAAATTATAAGATTTTTACAAAAGGATTTCATAAGTCCATCATACAAAAAGTCCATTACACTTATTTATCAAGATAAAATTAGATTATTGACTTTCTTTTAATAACTTCACTATATCAAGCTGTGTATTTGTCATGAAATTTAGGATACATGTGGTAATTCCGTTGTGTGTAAATAACATGCAATCAACGCGTCCAAAACTAAACTAATATTTGTTATGATAAAATAGGTTTAAATTTTGTCATATTTCACAATGTATATGATGTGATCAAAGTACGCAGCTTCAACGATATTTTTATGATTTTCTGATGTCGCCTTTCTTGAACTCGAAAAATAAAGATAGATGCGGAATCAATCGGACAATTCCTAACTCGTGATGAAGGGCAATTGGTATATTAAACCAATCGGACAACACCAACTCGTGGAAAGGGGCAATTGATATAGGGTAGAAGCTCGCCACAACTAGACGCGTTCTCTAGTTGATAAGAGACACGTGAAACCTCTGGAGCACTCTCGACAGAAGCTTGCACAAAGAACCAGTTCGTTTGAACTTGAAACTTGAAAGTTGATTGATAATAGAATGAATTACAATGAGGGACGCATCCTCCTTATATAGGCAACGAAAATCCAATCTTAAACTAAGAAAGAAAGCAAACAAATAACCAAATCCTACAATTAAAAGGAAAACAAAACCTTAAAGGAAAAGTAAAAGGAAAACACAATCCTTAATAGACAAGGAAAAGACTTGGTCAACAACTCCCTAGATTTTAGCATTGCAATCCTCCCTCACATGGCTTGTGTTCACACCTGATATTCCTTTCACACTTGTATTCCTTTCACACCTTGTGTTCACACCATGGAGAATTCCTTACTTCTAGGCCAAAATCTTCACTCTTCCTTCCAAGCCCATCTTCTCTTGATTCTGGTCCACAAATTGTAGTAATGTGATGGGCTTTCCTCGATGCAATTCCATATCCATCAAGAATGATCCCATTTGATCCTTATATCGTTGTATTCGAGCCTTCATCTTTGGACCACAAGAATTATATGTTCTGCCAATTGATTTCACATCAACAAACTCGTAGGCCTTCTCGTAGGCCTTGCTGGCAGAGCCATTTTCCCCCATCTTGAATGCTCCCAATATCTCTTTGAACCTCTTAATTCGTCTCTTGGCCCATCGTCCATGTGAAGATATATCTTGGACTAGAATGTGCACATATGGGGTGAGCGGGGTCGCATCATTCCCTCCCTCTTGAAAAAGATTTGACCTCAAATCTTGTTGTGACATATAAATCCTCTTCCATGACTTCATTATTTGCCAACTGGAATATGCACCTTGAGTTCTAAGCTTATCCACAAATGCTTGAAGTCTTTGTCTCTCTCTGATAGGAGCCTCCTTGTATGTTACTTCATCTCCAATAACGAACTCCATATGCTCAATACTCGCACCATAATCTCCCATTTGAATTGACTTGCATTGAGAAGGGCTTTGACCATATTTATAAGCAGAATTTGGTATTGTTGGTATACTTGAGGTGTTGAAGATGACCATGGACGAATTTTGGTGATGTTGGATAACATCTCCACTTCGTGCTATCATCAATGACTTGGTCTCCACGGCACTAGTCCCCCCATGTACACTCTTGTCCGTGACTTGGGATTCCTGCTCCTTCTCCTTCGCCCACTTTCGTTGCATTTGGAGTTGATCTTCATAAACTTCCTTGGGAGATAGGGGTTTCAACACGAATTTCTTCCCGCCATGTACTAGCTCGTACTTATTAGTAACTCCATCGTGATGTGCCTTTCGATCAAATTGCCATGGCCTCCCAAATAAGACATGCGCCGCTTGCATAGGCACAACATCACATAAGATCTCATCTTCATACCTTCCAATCGAAAACTTCAAGAGAGCTTGCTTTGTTACTTTGATGGCGCCATGATCATTGAGCCATTGAAGTGTATATGGCTTGGGATGCTTCAAAGTGTTTAATCCCAACTTCTTAACCGAATAGACACTAATGACATTAGTGCAGCTTCCACCATCAATTACCAACGAGAGTAATTTCCCATCCACCGTGCACCTTGTATGGAACAGATTCTCTCTTTGTTCAAGCTCCTCTTTGGGTTGCACACTTAGAATTCTTCTAGCTACGAAAATCTCTCCCGGTGGCACCTCCTCCATCTCTATCTTCTCGTCCACATCAAAATCTGAATTAGCCTCCTTTTCTTCCTCAGAATCCGAGACATACTCTCCATTCTCCAACATGACTAGAGCTCTCTTGTTAGGACATTGGTTGGCCATATGTCCTCTTCCATGGCACTTGAAGCATTGAATTCCTCCACTAGAGCTTGTGGGTCTCTCTCTTGGTGCTTCAACCTTGGCTGCCAGTTTTGGTGCTTCTGGTTTTGAAATGGCTGGCTTAGGGTTTGAAGTCGAAGGCACTCCTGGCCTTGGTGCGCTAGAGGAAGGTGTGAACCTTCTTCCAAGGTTACTACGTTGTTGCTTCTCAACTTTGGCCGCCATTGCAACCAAATCGTATAACTCTCTAAATGGTTGAATTTCCACCACATTCCTGATTTCTCGATTGAGACCGTGTAGGAATCGTGCTATGGTGGCTTCATTCTCCTCTACGAGGTCAGCTCTAATCATCATCATCTCCATCTCCTTGTAGTAATCCTCTACACTTTTTGTACCTTGTCGTAAGGTTTGCAGGGCTTGATACATCTCCCTACGATGGTAGCTAGGGACGAATTTATCCCGCATGATGCTCCTCATCTCTTCCCATGTCTCAATAGGGCGTTGCCTATCCCTCCTTCTCGTACAGATTTGATCGCACCAGATGATAGCATAATCCGTGAATTCCATTGCAGCCATTTGAACTTTCTTCCTCTCGGAATAGTTGTGATAGTCGAAAATCATCTCCATTTTTCTTTCCCAATCAAGATAAGCTTCGGGATCGGTAGCACCTCTGAATGATGGAATAGTGACCCTCACATTTCTCAATTCGTCTTCAACTTCTCTAAGGTTGGCATCATCGTCGTCATACTTGCCTTCTTCGTCTTGCACTCGAGGATTCCCTCTCCTTGCTCGCGGCATCCCCAAAGGACGATGGCGCCTCAATTGTTCGGCCATGGGTTGCGGAACAATCCTCCTTTCTCCTCGCTCTTCATCTTCTCGCCTAGGCCTCTCGGCATTAGGGTTTGGTGGTGCTTCTTGCGCAGGAGCTTGAGGCGCGGCTAGCCTTGCTTCGACTATGGCGAATCGTGCATTAACGTCGGCAGCGTTGGCCGCTAGGGTTCGCTGAATTTCTGCCAATTGATCCATCATTGCCTTCATTGGATCATCCATTCTTGTGGCACAAGGTAGTGTTTCTTGCGCTGAAAGCCCACAAGAATTCGCCAAGATTGCTTCAAGAACACGTCAAGATTCCCAAGAACCGTCTTCTTCTCCGCTGTGTTTGAACCGGGCTCTTGATACCACTTGATGTGATCAAAGTACGCAGCTTCAACGATATTTTTATGATTTTCTGATGTCGCCTTTCTTGAACTCGAAAAATAAAGATAGATGCGGAGTCAATCGGACAATTCCTAACTCGTGATGAAGGGCAATTGGTATATTAAACCAATCGGACAACACCAACTCGTGGAAAGGGGCAATTGATATAGGGTAGAAGCTCGCCACAACTAGACGCGTTCTCTAGTTGATAAGAGACACGTGAAACCTCTGGAGCACTCTCGACAGAAGCTTGCACAAAGAACCAGTTCGTTTGAAATTGAAACTTGAAAGTTGATTGATAATAGAATGAATTACAATGAGGGACGCATCCTCCTTATATAGGCAACGAAAATCCAATCTTAAACTAAGAAAGAAAGCAAACAAATAACCAAATCCTACAATTAAAAGGAAAACAAAACCTTAAAGGAAAAGTAAAAGGAAAACACAATCCTTAATAGACAAGGAAAAGACTTGGTCAACAACTCCCTAGATTTTAGCATTGCAATCCTCCCTCACATGGCTTGTGTTCACACCTGATATTCCTTTCACACTTGTATTCCTTTCACACCATGGAGAATTCCTTACTTCTAGGCCAAATTCTTCACTCTTCCTTCCAAGCCCATCTTCTCTTGATTCTGGTCCACAAATTGTAGTAATGTGATGGGCTTTCCTCGATGCAATTCCATATCCATCAAGAATGATCCCATTTGATCCTTATATCGTTGTATTCGAGCCTTCATCTTTGGACCACAAGAATTATATGTTCTGCCAATTGATTTCACATCAACAAACTCGTAGGCCTTCTCGTAGGCCTTGCTGGCAGAGCCATTTTCCCCCATCTTGAATGCTCCCAATATCTCTTTGAACCTCTTAATTTGTCTCTTGGCCCATCGTCCATGTGAAGATATATCTTGGACTAGAATGTGCACATATGGGGTGAGCGGGGTCGCATCAGTATATGCTGTGCACAATATAGTACAAAATGGTATGAAGGAAAAAGCCAAAGAAAAATAAACGATGACTGCCAATAGAACAAAATAGTAAACATTTAAACCTTTTATCGAGTCATTTCCAAATGACCCATGATTTAGTCATTTCCAAATGCCTCCTATTTATGAGTCATTTCCTAATGACCCATGATTTAGTTCAAATGTTCCAACTTTGTCCTTACTTATTTTATGTAAATCCACTTCCACCCTTCTATTTCCATTATTTGTTTTCTATGCCATTGCTTTGTCTTATCTGGGAATGATCTTTTTTTCTTTCTCCCAAATTACACAAGCAACGAAGAGGGCCATCTATGTAGCGGCGCATCTTTTTCGTCACAGACACCATCATTTGTAATTAGCTTAAAATTCAAGAGTCATGGGGGCGTTACATTTATAAAGAAAGTAAACATAGAATTTTACTATTTAAAATTAGAAAGTATTATGATACGTGACAAACACCCAAATAATAGGTTTTGTTGATTTCAAAATAATTTTTGTTTACGTGGTTGGTTTTATTAGAATAGGAAACAAGATAATGAAACATATTAAATATAAGGACAAAAAATGGTCACTTTATACAAATAACTCACTTAAAAGTGACTTACTTTTAAATAAACAACGCATCTACATAGCTAAATGTGGAATGCCTACATTTGAGCAAATGACTCCATATCATTTTCTCCGCCTAACACTAGATATATAATGTAATATAATACATGTTGTGCGAGTACATCATAAAAGCTGTGATTATAATTAGTACATTAATCAATCATATATAATTTGTGGTTCCTTTCAAATTCTATGTTTATTTGTGATTGAGGGATTAAATTATTAAACAAACAATGGTATCAGAAATAAAAACTAGTAAATGTTGCGATAAACGTAAAACCAAACCTGCAATTAAAAGTAATTTTTATGGGCCAATTAAAACCCATTGACAGTACGAGACTACGAGTACATACATATATACATTCGTCCCACTCCCAGTCCCACCCTCTCTCCCCCTTATTTTCCATCCTCCATTAATATCTAGTAGAGTTTTGTGTACTTTTCTCCATTTCAAATTTCCTGCAATTAGAGTGAAAGTAGGAAGGTCATTTTTGTCTTTACACATTTATTATTTATTTCATATAAAAATAGCAATATCAAGATTTGAACCAGGGTCTCTTCAAACAAAGATAACAATTACAACCAGTTACACTAAACAAATTTATTGTATCCTTTTTTATACAAAACATAGACAAAGTGAATCTCTGAAAATCAGAGGACTTTTTCATCATAATTAGCAAGCTCACTAAGTCTACCGTATGTATTTTTATCGAGCTTGATACTTCTATTTTTATAGTAGAGTTTCATGTAATTTTCTCAATTTTAAATTCCCGCTCTCTCCTTAATTTTTGCTAAAGGTAAATGGGTAATTGGCTAACATGGAAGAAACTAATTATGTAACTACGTGTTGTATCCTTGCATTTTTCAATTTAAATTTTGTGATATTTTATCTTTGTTCTTTTCTCTTTCTAACTTCCTCCGAAATTTCATCCTTCGTGCAATATTTTGCGCCTTTCACTTCCCAGTACAAGACTGTCATTGAAAATCAATCTTCAGGTATCTCTTGGCACTACGATTTTATTGTTGGGGATTTTAAGCTGGGCGAGTAGAAGATTTCAACTCCGATATCAATTCTTGGTGAATAGAATGGAGTTCATCAATAACTGGAGTTGTAGAAGGAGGATTAGAAATTGAATTTTTGGTTAAATATATGCCTCTTGAGATAGAAATTTGGTTGTACAATGGAGAGTGGTGGCTATTGGATCTTTAGGTTTATGGTTTTTACAATTGTCACAACCTATTTCTATCTTAAAACGAGGAATCATTGATTGATTGTTTGAAATAGGTCGCTTTTTTATTCAACCTACTGGAACTAATAGATAAGGAGTGTCTAATTTTGCGCCTTATTACTTTGATTGAGTCTATTCGTATATTGGAGATAACCCTGATTTTTTCGTTTGCTCTCAAGTTGTGATGGTCCCCTCTTAGTTGAGTTTTTAGTATATAGATGACTTGAATGAACAACTCTCCATTTCTTTTTGATTTGTGACATATTGTTTCTAAAAGCAGAACATTGAACCCTTTATATATGATTGTGAGGGTTAAGATTTAGTTTCAAACTATCTATGGGTCGTGTGAGAATTTCAGTGAGCTTTTATACTCTATATTTCTTGACTGTAAAATAAAACTAACCAATAGCATTTTAACATGGACTTAATTAGCATTATGAAAATGGGGTCAATGATACATTTTTCTATTTTATATTCTTAAATGATTATTGATATTTCTCCGAATGTTCGACCTATATATTATTTCTTTATGTATCATCTCGATCGAATGATTATCAATAAGATTAAACGGGCTAATAGACTTAAAAGTAACAAAAAAATACAAATAATCAAATATGAACATTCCGGCCAAAGGGCCGGGTTATAAGCTAGTTTCAATTATTTCCCTTTTTTGTCCCAATAACACAGCTGGAGCCCATTGTCTTCCTATTGGACGTGAACCGTGGGATTACAATTCATCCTACGGATGGGATGATATAGGGGCATATGTAGCTCTGATTTCAAAACCCTAGCTAACGGCTGATGAAAGTTGTATCGATCTGTATATAACCAAACTCCTTCCATCGCAGTTTTCCGTTTCCCAGGAATTGGATCAAACCCACCCACCCAAAGCAAACAGAAGAAAAAGAAAAAGCTCAGGCTCAGCACATTCCAAACGCATCCATGGCCATGGACTACCTCTGGTACTACAGTACCACTTGGAGCACTCTGGCTTGCTTTGCGTTCATGGGGGTCTTCTACTACGCCGCTGAGACCGCAAGCTCGGCGTTAGACCGGTGTGTGCCACGTTGGGTATGTACGCCATCTATTTCTTCACTGGGGCCCTAATCCCGACTTTACGATGGGCAGGTGATTAGAGATTCTAACGGAGCTATCTTTACCATCCACATCTCTTCCTTGAGGGCGAGCGCCTTCTTCTGGTTCAAGAAGGAGGCCGCATGGTACATGAACTCCCTGGCCATTCTCGTCGCATGTGGTTTGAGGAGAATACCTTGGCTGGTCTGTTCGTTCACCTCTGCCTTCTGTTACTCATCTTCTTCATCCAGCTGGCCGCCTACGACTTAGGTTTGTTTGATGGGATGGTTGCCTGCCTCTTTGGCAAGATAGTGGCCATCAGGGAGAAGGAACCCAAATGGGCTAAGATCGTTATGTGTATTCTTGCGGCAATGGTTCTGCTTAGGGATTTCCTTCTCAAGGTGCTCAGGCAGCAGGCCTGGAGGAGGAGAAACGCGGGTACTGGTGGTGGGGACGACCAAGCCTGAGGATCGATCGGCGGTGGTGGTCTGATGGTGGAGCCGTCTTATTGTGGTTTTTATTTATATATATATATATATATATATATATATATATATATTATATTATGTATGTACAAGAAAACAGAAAGAGTCAAAAAAACAGTGTAGGAAAAAGGGATTATTAGCCCAAAACAGTAAAGAAAACAGTGTAGGAAAAGGGGATTAGCCCAAAAAGGTAATGAAAACAGTGTAGCCAGGAAAAAGGGATTAGCCCAAGGTATTTTCATTTTCATTGTAACGGTTGACTAAAGACAAAATAGAGAAATGACTTGTTATTTTTCAAATCCTTTCTTTCTGTATTTCATTTATTTATTGTTTTCTGCGCTGTCTTTCCGGCTCCCGTGAGCCTAGTGCCAAGTGCGGCTAGGGTTGTCTGCGTGTAATTATCTTTTTACGTTTTGGGCTATTGGGCTGGGCTGGGCTGGGCTAGCGAAGTCAAACCATAACCCTCTGTGCGCTCCACAAACTAATTTCATGGACTTTTATATGTTCCAATGTTGTTAGAGGAAGTAGGGTAGCCGCCACTTTCATCATTCGGCTTGCCTTGTTCCTTCCCTTTTTAATTATTAATTAATTAATGTAATGCAAAAAATAGTAGGAGCCAGTTCAACTTAACACATCCTGCCCGTTTAAGTGCCTCCGGGACCGGATTTCAGACCGGGTCTAGTTTTCCCCGGCCGGTCCGGTCCGGTTTTCATAATAGGGGTTGTTCCATACTTCCAAGTTCCATCCATCTCTAATTGGGTTAGAGCTGAATTGCTTCGTAGAACCCACTCTAATTGAACCACTCTCCAAACTTAGAACCAACCAACGTCTTCAAATTGATCGAGTGTTTGTCAACCTCACCTATTACAAGGGGGGAAAAAATCTAAATTAACGATCGATTCGTCATACAAAAAGCAAACCAAAAGCACACAGTAATGTACAAAGGAGAACAACCAAGTAATACTCTTTCTTGGTAACGGCATCCCCAATTTACCGAAAGCCACATTCACCGTCATAACTTAACTAGCACTTTAGTATGGCAAAATTGAATCCTCCATGAAGAAACAAGTAACTATATAGTGTATACAACAATCATACCATCTTCCCTTGTTTATCCATAACTACCATGGCCATAACTAAGTTCAAACTACATTAACTTACCGAAATAGTGTACATTGAAGAAAACATGGAGGGCATGTCCTGCTGATTGCACATTGAGGCTTGGCTTAGGTCCACCGTGGAGAAACAATTATCATGGTTCGATGTGGACGCTGGAAAGTAAAGAAGATACTCAACAAGAAAGAACATTCAAAATTCTCTTAGACTAATATAGCAAACCACAACCCACTTGGTCATGTACCACAGATAGTGACTAGTATCTCCAGTGACATTAATATGCTCCAAGAGCCCACGAGTCGTCATCCTCGAGCTATCTACATGAGAATTCATATCTTCCTTGTAAGTCTCCCACCACATCAATCTAGTACCGGTTGGCAACATTTGGACATTTGATGTCATAACTCCAACCTACACATTAACAGCTTAATGAGCTGATTATCTTTTTCACAACCACGAAAATCTGATTCTTGAGATAGATAAACATGAAACATCATTGGGGACACACAACTTATGATTCTGCAATTCCCTTGGTGTTTTGATTCTATCTACAGTTTAAGTACCTTGATTACAGAGAAAGCTTGTTAAGAAGGTTACTCACCATGGCAGTGTTGAAAGCTACATGTCTGCAATCAGAAAGGATGTTGATGGATCAAGTAGGCAAGTCATAGTGCAAACCGTTGTAAGCCACCTTAGCAGGATACTTCATATGGTAGTAAGAAAGGCTGCACATTTATCGTGGCCTGAGAATACATGAGCCTGATAGAGAAAGAACTGTTTATTAAGATGCTGCTAAACTTCTAATTCAACTGTGTAAAGGAAAACCAAAGCTTAAAGTTTGCCCGTTGATAAGTGGAGGATTGAATAACATACAAGTTGAAGAGATGGGTTGTCCTTGGAAAGGCTTTGTCTGGGCCTTGTCAACATCCATAACTCCAGCTTTTAATAGGTGGAACCCTTTGGATGGCAGCTGCTGGAAAATTCTCTTCCCAGTACTTCCAGTTGCACCAGCCAAAAACACTTTGTTTTTCTCTTCTACATTATTGTTCGTCTCTTCCTCAGTTTTCCCTGAAACTTCCTATGTAATTTCACTGCTGCTCCCTGCCATCTGACATACAAAAATGCTTAAGAGCTCTCGAAAAAGGAAAGTTATGGTAAGGAAACTACCAGGTACCTATCTCTTTTACCAATATCAGAGTGAACTTAGCAAGGGTATACGTAGCCAAAGCACAGTTTTCACACTTTGCTAGCTGGTGGTACTCAAAACATAAATTAATTTAGCAGCTAATCAAAGAATTGAAACTATAAAGCAGTGATAAACCTAAGAGATTCTGAAATCAAAGTCAGGGATCAGTACGGTCATAAATCAATCAAATGAAACTATAGGTTTTATGCTAGAAATTTCTTATGTGACTTGAACAAAGTAATATTCATGGATTAAGTAGAGTACAATAAAAAAAAAGCATAGTACCTCAAGATGTGCTTTACTTTGCTCAAAATGGAACTGCAGAAAGGGAAATTTGGAATCATGAGTCCTTGCTCCAAATCTTAGAATACAAAAGAACAAGTTAAAAACTAAACTTGCTCCTCACACTAACCCAAATTCTACCAACATCCACAACCCATTAGCCTGATTCTATTTGTAATGACATATATAACCAATCATTTAATCTCCACAAGCAATCCTTGTACAAGTTAATGAAAACCACCACTTCTGTTGTTAGCCTGTAGCCAAAGAAAATCGGACCAAATTAGTACTAATTGGCAGAAAAAAAATACAGCAGCAGCAAGAAAATAGAGGGGGCGGAGTAAACAATGGACTAAAACAAGATAGAAAAATTGATAAGCAGCAATAAGTTAAAGACGAAATGTGGCTTCTGAAACCCTACTGGAGATAGGGTTTGATTCTATCAGATGGAAAGAAGGACAACAGAGGCTTCCATGCACGCAAGCGGAACGAAAGCCAAATCTCGTCGCTGATTCCCACACTGCGTTTCGAGCAATCTACATGCACAAATCAGATTTTGGAAACCGGAACTAAATAAGGCTCGAGATAAAGTTCAGAAAGTACCAAAAGAAATCGATGGAATGCGGAAGCGATCCATGATCGATTAGAGGAGTAGGATCTAAGAATACAGCCGACGAGAGGAGAAAACGAATTCACACGCCGGATTTTAAGGTCGACGCAATGGAGAATACGGCTGGTGGCGAGAGGAGAGCTCTTTCTGGATAGGAATTAGTATGAACGCGATAATTTGTCCATTTCCATTGAATGTAAAAAAAGGGTTTCGGTAAAAATGGTCTTGTTTTCGAAGGAAAAATAAAATAAAATGTTGATGTATTTTGTTTTGTTGGGCCTCTCATCGGGTGTAGGAACTGCTGTATCATTCGTTGGCAAAAGCAAATTACATAAAGCCCGGGCAGCGGTTACCTTAACCTCCGAAAGAATACCCCTAGGCTTGGCCCATTTCCTTCTAATGTGGAATCTAGAAGTAAAAAAGAGTTGGTCCACAACCTTCTCACGAGATATGGCAATTAGTAACTAAATTGATACTATTTGGATTCATGAATTTCATCACTTCAATTCATAAATCATAAATTCACTATTACATTTATTCTAATCCATGAATCCACCAATTAAATTCATTTGTCACCTCTACTTCTTACACACCATTATTGAGAGTGCACATGTAATAATTCAAACAAGTGACAAAGTCAACTCAATTCAAAACAAATTTTATCATCGGAAAACAAGGTCAAAGCACACACTAATTAAACAACAACAATCGTTATTTCTTCCCAATGACCGGTGGCGCCACCGAGTCATCCTCATCGCCGTAATTACAACAATAATAATAGTGTTGCGAGACAAGATTGAAGTAACATGAGATGACCGTGATTCTACTCGTACTATTACAATTACTCTTGTAAAAACATGAGGAAAAGAAAAATTAACTCGAAAAAACTATACATTCTTTCTTCATCGACAGAATATATTATATAGCTACTAATAGTACTCCTATTAATTAGTCTGCTAAACCCTAGGATCGTTGAGGACATGACTTAGGCTGTCTTCTCTTGTCGTGTAACAAATAGTCATTACAATCATTATCATTGTTATCGTCCTCATCACAACCATACTGATCATAATGCATGCGAGGATGGTAGAGGCGCAGGGCAAAGCCGATGCCTTTGTTGATGCCAAAGAAGAGGCCGGCAAATAAGGCGAGAGCGAGTACGACGTCAGGTTCCGGCACCCACCGTCCTCGTTGAGCCTCCAGGCTGCCGACGGTGAAGCCAACGACCATATAAACCAGGAACACAAATGCAAGCCTGAATTCCATCGCATGGACGGTCCTCATGGAGGCCGGAAACAACAACTGTACCATCCGAACAACTACTCCTTTCTTCTCCTTCTCCTTCTCCTTCTCCTTCTCCTTCTCCTTCTCCTTCTGGCCCGGTAACCACCAACGTAATACATAAGCTTAATTTATTGAATTTCACGTAAATTAAATACGTTTTTAAAAATTGATCAATACACATACCGTCTTGGAAAGATGAAGGATGTTGAAGTATCCCAGCTGTAGGTAGATGAAGAAAGGAAGGTAGAGGAAGAGAGCGGTGTTGACGATGGATCGGACAGTGTCCGTCGGGGCGATGAGCCGGCGGAGGAGGAAGAAGGAGATGAGAAAGAAGAAGTACACCCTTTCACCCCAAAACCGGTAGACGAAAAGCACGGTTTCTGCATCTTCAGCTTCTAATACTGCTTTCCCGAGTATTCTTGCCATATGATGGCTTTCCTATCCTAATTATGATGAGTTCGATGCTAGTTTTGGGTATGGATTAGAGTCACAAATAACAAACAATCGCCCGGATATGATTTAATTAGCTGATTTCTTATATATACTAGTCATTGTAGTGAACAAACTTTAGGATTTTTCAGCCATAAATATAGTGACTTTTAGTTTAAGTCCTTAATTATAGAAATTAGTTTAAGTCGTCGTACATACGCTCAGTAAGGAAATTAAAATTCCCCAATTTTTTTAATCAACATTTTCTCTTCTATGAGCTTGGCCATACATTACATTTATGTACATGCTTCACTATTTCTGCCCTACGATTATTATCTTCACATAGTAATAACTTAATATATAAGTTTTCCGAACGAGATCCTTTTAATTACTTGATATTTCTCGAGCTTGATATTAATTTATTGCTATTCCTTGATAGGGATGGCAAAAATATCCGTAACCGTGGATATCCACCCGAATCCGAAGCATTTTTCGTGGTTACGGGTAAAACCCGAACCCGAATATTGCGGGTAATGGGTGAGCATGGGTATCTCACTATCTAACCCGAACCCGTCCGATTATACACATGCATATGTATTTTGTCTAGAAATAATCATTATGTTTCTCTAGAATATTTTATATTTAGCATATAAATATAATATTTTCATGAAATTATGTTGTTTTAATTAATTTTCGTCATTCTAGTGAATTATTGTCGTACTTTTTCTCTTACGTAAAGTGAGTATACGTGTGAATGTTAACATATTGGTTGGAATTATAAGGAGAAATTATTACCCATGGATAACCGTGGATACCCGAAATCCGAATGGGTATGGGCATGGTTTTTATTTTCTACCCGTTTCTCGAGTGGGTACGGGTATGGGTAAAACCCGAACTACATTGGGTAGGGTAACGGATATGCACTATCCGCCCCCGACCCGACCCATTGCCATCTCTATTCCTTGAGCTTTGGAATTCGTTATTTGATTGAAACTGATGTCAAGTATTGTGCACTGTAAGATGTATAGGTGGTGATAGTCTAATTTCGTGTATGTTTAGTCGTGCCTAGATATATAGTAATCGCCAAGGTTCCAAGACCATCTCCATCCCCTTTCATATGTAATTGCTAAAACTTAGTTGGCATGTGTTTGGCAATTACTAATTCAATTGCCAGGATGTGGAGCCAATTGCTAACTTAGCAATCTTGCTAAATAAGCAATTCCACTTGCAATGCCACATAAGATTTTATTTACCTTTTCTGTTTTATCTTTATAGTTTAGAAAGTTAGTTGTTTTTTATAATGGAAGAATTGTTTATACATACATATGTGTGTGGCCTCCACAATAGAAATGACTAAAACCTTGTAAGGATGTGGATGACTTGAAAGAGCTATTGCTTAAGTGGTTGATATGGCAGTGGGACCCATATATGAAATTGCTAAGTAATTGCAAGAATGGAGATGGTCTAAGCAGATTATTAGGCATTCATAGCATTAAGGTAGAGTTAGGCGCAATTAATTGGCTCAAGCGTGACTAATCGAAGCTAGGTGGTATGGTGACTAAAGATTAAAAAATAAATTAAAATTGCCAAAAAAGTAATGGCAAACGGATGCCATATCCTTCCGTTCGGCCAATTGATCAGAAGTAGTGATGGCAAAAGAGCGGGGCGGGTATCTCAATACACATACCCTCTTTGTACCAAGCACGGGCCGGGGTAGGTAATACTCGCACCGGTATGGGGTGAGGGTGGGTAGATTCACTCTTACATGTTATTTGAAAAAAAAAATACACGCAAAATTTTACATTTTACGGCAACACAAAGGGAAAACACTTCATGAATGAAAAATAGTGATAATATAATGGGTAATTGAGTCTAGCTAATTGAAAAAACAAGTCTAGCTAGTTGAAGAAATGCCAAAATAGGGTAAATATAAATAAATATTAAAAGAAATTGAGATAGAATAGACAAAGAATAGTGCGAGGCGGGGTAGGGCAGGGCGGGTTGGAAATAGATACACATGTCCCGTCCCACGTTGTTGCGGGTCAGGTAATATATACTCGCCATCACAAGTCAGGTCGATTAATACTCGGTTAAACGGGTTCAAATTGTCATTCCCAGTCCCAACAACTCATCCTACACATGCCGCATTCCTTGATTGAAATTATAAATTAAAAAAACGTTAGGTTAACAGAGCTCTTCGAATTGCAGTGACTTCTCCTCTGCCACTAAATTCATCGTGGACTACTGCAGTACTTCTCATCTCTAGTTTTGCCCATAAATTCTTGTTGTTATGATTTTTTTTTATGTGAACTTGTGTTGTGAAGTTGTGATTCTAATTTTTCTAAGATTATGTTTCCAACTTTTACTAAATTATGATATAGTTTGTTTGTTGTTGAGGGTTAGCTAAATTATTAATTAATCATTTGAAATTAAGGCTAGATAAAAAGTGCTATTAAATTGTTGTGATAGGTTAAATTACCTAGATACCGCCTAGACGCCACCTAAGTATCCTAGAGTATGCAGGACCCCAACGCCGGCCTTTTATCTAATATCTATCGCCTTCCTTAGCCTCGCTTTTATTATTATTTTTTTTATTGTTATTATACAATTACTTTCTTTTATATGGTTTCATATCCACATCTCTTTACATGTATCCAGATAAGAGCACTTCTACTATGCTATAAAGTGTTTGTGCTTTAATGTACAATTTGAAGTTGTACCATAAAGTTAAATGTATAAGTTTAGGTTGTACGATAAAGGAATTTGTACATTAAGTTATGATACAACGTCACAACTTGAAGTTGTACCATCACATAAATGTACAAGTTCAAGTTGTAACATAAAAAAATTTGTACAAAAAGTATAGGTCGGTTAATACTCGGTTGGACGGGTTCGAATTGTCATTCCCAGTCCCAACGACCCATCCTACACATGCCGCATTCCTTGATTGAAATTATTAAAAAAAAAGTTAGGTCAATAGACCTCTTCGAATCGCAGTGACTTCTCCTCTGCCGCTAAATTCATCGTGGACTAATGCAGTACTTCTCATCTCTAGTTTTGCCCATAAATTCTTGTTGCTATGATTTTGTTGTTTATGTGAAGTTGTGATTCTAATTTTTCTAACATTATGTTTCCAACTTTTACGAAATCATGAAATAATTTGTTTGTTGTTGAGGGTTAGCTAAATTATTAATTAATCATTTGAAACTGAGGCTAGATAAGAAGTGCTATAAAATTGTTGTGATAGGTTAAAATACCTGGATACCGCCTAGACGCCACCTAAGTATCCTAGAGTATGCAGGACCCCACCGCCGGCCTTGCATCTATCGCCTTCCTCAACCTCGCTTTTTTTTTTTGGTTATTATACAATTACTTTCTTCTATACGGTTCTATATCCACATCTCTTTACATGTATCATGATCATACCACTTCTATTATGCTATAAAGTATTTGTGTTTTAATGTACAATTTGAAGTTGTACAATAAAATTAAATGTATAAGTTTAGGTTATACAATAAAGGAATTTGTACATTAAGTTATGGTACAACGTCACAACTTGAAGTTGTACCATCACATAAAAGTACAAGTTCAAGTTGTAACATAAAAGAATTTGTACAAAAAATATAGGTACAATCTGAAGTTATACCACAACATTAATTGTACAATTTCAAATTGTACCATAAAAACAAAAACCTATAGCATAGTGCCAATACTACTATCCTATATAGCATTATATAATTTGCATCTTCACTTTTTAATTTTATTAATACTACCTGTACTTTCTTCTATCCGGTTCTATATCAGTTCAATGTGCGGAAGCGAGATTGGTTAGTTCAATATTAGAGAGGATAACAACTGCTTACCAATTATTTCTTTCCCTTTCATGGGTCATTATTATGGCATACATTCTCGTGCTGGTCAATACAATTAGCTTATTGTGTGAGCCATTTATTCTCGAGCTGCCTGGCCGACTAGACTAAGACTACCATCCACTTTGGGTTTGCTACATAACCTGTTTCCCTCATCACTTCTTTTGGTGAGGAAAAGGAAATGCGAAGAATTGTGTCTAGGATACGTGGAGGAGTGAAAGGGGCTTGGGCCGAGGAAAAAGGGCTTGCATTCGTGAACAAAGATTTTATAGCATCAAGTCGGCCGACTAGTTGAGCCCAAAGTTGCAAGGCAACCATCAATCCCAACTTTAACTGTCTCGTTTACTAGGCCGGTAGGCCATCAGTCCATCACAAACCTGGTAGCTCCATCACGCATGTATATTAGCAACAGTAGTATTTAATTGTGGAGCCTTGTTCTATAAAAAAGGCGGCTTAAGTTTTTCATAAAAATCTATACTATAAATAAAACTGCACCCTCCATTCAAAAATCCATGCCACTAGAGTGATGTGGCTGAGCATTTAGGCGGGCTTGTTTCTCACTCTCTCCTTTTGGAACCTCCAACCTCTTTCCGGTTTGTCAAACTTGCAAGAAAACATAAAGAACACCGAGTTTTTTAACGTGGTTTCGTCAATATGACACTAGTCCGCGGCGAGGATCTCCCTTACAGGTTTTAGGATTATGTTACTTGATACTCTTCATCGTTTACATGAGTACATATATATAGGCTTTTTAACCTAACACAACCGACTTTGCCCTAGGTTAATTACATAATGATACATATAATTAACACCCTCCCTCAAATTGATGTCGTGTGATTAACATCAATTTGCAAGATAAATACCAATGTCGGCTGGATGCCATAGCCTTTGTTAACAAGTCAGCAGTCTGATCTTCAGTCGACAAATGACTCAGCTGTATCCTCCCTTCTACAACTACCTGTCGAATGTAGTGTACGTGAACCTCTATGTGCTTTGTCCTATCATGAAGCACAGGATTGATTGCTATCTGAATATCACTTGTATTGTCCCCATAGATACGCATCGGAACCTGACACTCGACTCCTAGATCATTCATCAAGTGCTCTAACCAAACCATTTCATAACTTA